TGAAAACTTATTTTAAGAATGGTAATTTTTTAAAGAGCTGCCTCTATTGTTATACCTCTCATGTGTGCTTGGAAATAATGGTCCAAAGGTTGTCATGAGGACTGCCAAGGTTTTTCCTCCACAAATGAGATACACGCTTATTTGTCCTCACAAATTGGTGGGGATGAAATGCCCAGCCAAATTAAGAAACCTGTAACACTGAAACCCAAGAGAAAAAAAATCCCCAACTTTGCATGATGATTCCGCAGAGCCTGTTAGCTGAACAGGTGTCAGTGCACTGCTCTTTCAAAGAAAGAGTACAAGGAGTAGGAGAAGAAAATTCCTTGGGCTCCCCAGCTGCCCACATTCAAGAGTTAACCAGGAATGGATAATCTGACTCAGAGGATCATAGTCTTTGCAAATCCTGCAAACTCTCCATGGGCCCATAAAGGCCCCTGGAATTCCATGACTGCAACAATGACTACAGAATAGCCCAAGAGTGGCTCCATGCCCTCTTTGACACCATGTTTCAAGGAAGATGTCATACCAGCACACAGCCTAGCTATTTAAGAAGGGCTTTGAAGGTAGGATTCCCCCTCCCTCCTGTCAAAAGTGTCCACTCATTAAAAATACAGTTGTGGGGGACAAAATATTCCATTTTTTTCAAAGACAGATGTGCTCTTACACCTGTGTGTCTTGTCTTGCAACTAACCTTATTGGACCCAGTATAGCAAAATATTAGTATGCCACATTTTAAAACATTAATTTAAATACAATTTTCTAACATGCAGAAGTGCACCACATTTTCTCTATCAAATGGAGGTAATAGATTTGTCCTCACACACACATCTTAAAATCCTTTGAGAAAGTTGATCAGATTTCTTTCAGCCACCACATAGAATAGCATAATTATTGATTATATATCTATACACACACAATATACACAAATACCATGCTAACTGATCTACAATACATTACACAGCAGAAATGTATATCAATGTGTTGGACAATTTTTTTCCCCCAGAAAACCTGTTCAAGTTTAGAGGTGAAGATTCCTGCTCATTGCAAGTTTTCTCTTTTCTAATGAAAAAAAAATGGAAATAATTCTATTAAGTACCTGTAGCCAGACAG